ACAAAAACTCGAGCCTCGATATAAACGCACATTTTGTTCAGGGAATATATGAAAACAAGAAGGGCCTATATGACGTCGCATTTTCGCGGACACCGAGCTCGGTCACTAAAAATAGTCTTGCGAGCACCCGCACATTTAAGTGTAAAATCAAAATATATTGAGCAATCAGTCTGGATTAATATTAAGTACTTGTTTTGAAACGGTGGGGGTTGATTGCGATGCATACAAAATGTTGTTGAAGGTTTCTTCACAGGCACTCTATCTAAATAGAATAAAAATATATTATGTACTTCTCAGGATGTACTTCTGCTTAGATTCAGTCACTGTTGAGAAATATTTCACAAAAGGTTTCGTAAGTGTAGGTCAATTGTTTCGGCTTATAAGGGACTTGGTGCGTGGGAGGTTGCTAGTGGTGAAAATAATTATTAAAAATCCTCAAATATTGGGCCTTGCATTCATTTGAATATGATGAGACCACTTTGTATCTATTTCCCTTTTGTGACTGCAGCGAAAGAAGAAATTCAAAACAGGTTCAAACTCTAATAATGATCAACACCTGATAACATTCTTTGGAATTTACTTATCATAGCAGTCAAAAGTAAAAATATTTATAAAATTTGAATACATCACAAGTCTCCTGCTATGCAGTCATTGAAATTTATGGCTGTTGTTTCATTTTGTAGCAAATACCTATCATAGTCCTGGTGAACGAAAATAATATTTAGGATGATGTTGCATCTTTGAGCGAAGAACAAATTTTCTGGGGGATACAAATTTATCACCTTTATTGTAAGTTTGAAAAAATATTAAATTTTTATTGAAGTGATTGTTTTCGTATGGGAGACAGCTGTGGTGCGAGAGAAATTCCACTACCTGAAAAATATAAACAGAACTTCGAGATGTCGAGGGACATTTCGTTGATGAAGGGTCTTCCCGAGGAAAATCCTTGGCTCGAAACGTCGAAGGTCTGCTTATATTTTTCAGGTCTAGCAATTGTATCTCTCTCACAACGGAACTGGCTGTTATCGTCGCTAACTACACTGGTATGGACCGTTTGAGATTTTGGGAAAGTGTGTTCAATAATCACGCAACCGCATACAACTGTTTCAATTAAGGTCCCCGAACAGAGCGGAAAGTCGAATACGAGCTCGAAAGCCTGCTGGGAATCGCTATGAAAATTCATTAATTTTTTAGCAATTTCCAGCAGCCTTTCGCGCTCGTATTCCGACTTTTCCGCTTTTCTCGTGGACAACCTTAATTGAAATAGCTGTATACAATCGTCAAGTGCTATGAATGGTTAAGTGTAATCGTCAAGTGCTTTACTGCAATGTTAGATAAAAATTTTATAAATTCAACAAAGTCAAAGCGGGTCAAACGTACATCATCCAAGTTCCAATATCTGCCAACACGTTCAAACAGGGTCAACATGTTTGCTCATGCAGCATCATGCGACATTGTTGAATGCAACATTGTTGGCCTCGTTTCAACACTGTGTGTTGGGAAATGTTGGCTTTGATTAAAAAGGGGCGTGACGGGTGGAACCAAATTCCAGTTGCCAGTCTTATTTCGATCCAAATCCAAGTTACGAAATCTTAAATACCATCCATAGTGGATGTTTAGAAAATGACGCATATAATAAACTAAAATGATAATGTCATTCCATGGGCAACAAACCACTGAGCATGAAAACGTGGTGGCTATATGTTTGCTCGCAGCAAAAAGGCGAGATCAGGCGAAAATGTGTTTTTCGATTCTGAGGTCTACTATTCAGAATATATAAAAAATAGGCTTATCATAGGAGTTTAAGCCGTTGTATCGAATAATAAAATTAGAAACCGCTCAAGAAAGAAAATCCCATTCCGGTCAGTCCCAGCGCAATAAATCTTTATTTCCCCGTCCAAAAAAGGCAAATCTCAGTTCCCATTTCATCCCTTCACGACCCTATTTAAAGCCTTGTTCAAACGAGTCCATCATTGTTGGAGGGAAATTTTGAACAAAGTTCTACATGCAATAAAACCCGATCCAACACCTCCCAGCGTCAACCAACATATTACACAACTTAGTGGGCAAATAAATCCAACTCATTGAGATTAGCAATTCTTACAATCTTACATACACACGTACACTTGACAGGAATACAACTAATTTCTTAAAAGACACATTAATTAATTGGAAAGATATTTAATCTACACTTTCCACGTCGATTATAATGCGGATTTTGGTATCCAAAAAACTAAAAAAGATTCAAATGAATGGAATCAAAAAGAATGTAATAAGACACTTTAATACTTCAACTTGTAAGCCCCTGTATTACGTCGGTGATCGTTTACAGGCTATTCTTCATACCCGTTTTAGATTGTCAAACAGTACGTTAAATTACGACTTGTTTTTAAAAAAGTGTGTTTCCTCTCCTTCCTGTGCATGTGGGCATCCAAATGAGACTACCTCCCACTTCTTTTTTGACTGCAACCGATATGCTGCTCCTCGCGTTAAATTGCTCACTTCTGCTGCTCTCTTGCTTGGCACCAGTTGGTTGAATGCATCCAGAAAAACTCGTCTTATATGGCTGCTCAACGGAAGTAATTCTGATTTTTCCTTTATTGTTAATAAAAGTTTGTTCTCTAGTTTTCAGAGATTTTGCATGTGGCTGCAGTTAATCATTTTGGTACCGACTGTATTTATTTAACTAGTTGTCTTGTTTGTCCGTGTGTTTCTTCTTTCAAAAAATTGTTTTATATATAATTAAATATTGTAATTTTTTAGCAAAAGCTCCCTAGATAAGTTCCTACGCTTTTGGAGCAATTGCATTTAATTTGATTAATAAAATACTGTTTATATCAAAATACATTTTTAATCTGAAGTATACAAAAAGTCGAGCCTCGATATAAACGAATATTTTGGTCAGGGAATATATAGGAACACAAGAAGGGCCTATATGACGTCGCATTTTCGCGGACACCGAGCTCGGCCAGTAAAAAGTCGTGCGAGCAGGTTCTCTAGGGAAAGTTAGCCCGCACTTTTAAGTATCAAATATATTGAGCAATCTGTCTTGATTAAGTACATGTTTTGAAACGGTGGGTGTCCGTAGCGTAGGAAGCGGCGATGCATACAAAATTTTGTGAAAGGTTTTTTGACAGACACTCTATCTAAACCGAAGAACAGATATTATGTATTTCTCAAGATGTACTTCTGCTTAGATTCAGTCGCTGTTGAGAAATATTGCACAAACGGTTTCGTAAGTGTAGGTCAACTGTTTCGGCTTATAAGTGACTTGGTGCGTGGGAGGTTGCTAGTGGTGAAAATAATCATAATAAAACCCCTCAAATTTTGGGCCTTGCATTCATTTGAATACGATGATACCACTTTGTATCTATTTCCGATTTTGCTACTGCAGCGAAAGGAGAAATTCAAAACAGGTTCAAACTGTAATGATCATCAACAACTGATAACATTGTTTGGAATTTGCTTATGAGAGCAGTCAAAAGTAAAAATATTCATAAAATTTGAATATATCACGAGTCTTCTGCTGTGCAGTCATTGAAATATTTTAGTGTTCTCACTTTATCGCAAATTCCGATCATAGAGCTAGTGAACTGAACTCGAAAATAATATTTAGGACCCTTATGGAACCTCATATTTCAATGCTATGCTGGCTTTTACTATTTAATGAACGTAACGTAAAAAAGTTACATGTACAGTTCACAAATCACAACCCAACGCTTGGTCTAGCGTCTTCGTCATTTCGGTCTGAGTGGTCACCCCTGATGAAAACAATAGACCGAAGTGCAAGCAATATTTCGATATTATCGCTATAATTTCACTCATGATTATCGTATTGAAGGTAGAAACATGAACGACGACATGTCGAGTAATAATCGTTATTATTATATGGCTTTTCAAAATTCTCTATTCTGATTGGTTGACAGGCGGTCCGTAAAAATCCATATCCGGACCGTGGTCCGTATTTTCCGTATCTGGACCGGTGTCCCGGATGTCGTTTATCAGGCGGAAAATTTCTGCTTTGTAAACAGAAATATTTTTGCTTTTTAATTTTCCAATTGTGTGTCATTAAAATTTACAGATAAAAATTTCAAACAACCAAATTGTTTTTGATTGAGCATGCATGCCTACCGTTACCCAGTGAAACTGACGATTGCTGATTTAATTCGCGCGAAAAGCATATGCTCACAGACTCAGTTCAGCCATATAAGTAACCGATTATTGACCTCGATCAGTTCGGTCTGTACTGTGAAATATCAGACCTCTGTTTTTTGCATGGCCCTCGCCTTAATTCTTCGAGGATATACTGTGAATTTGCAGCTTTGCCGCTATCGCAGTGGATAGCTAAGGTTTTTCTAATTATGATATAAAACAAGATTTTTACTTGTTTTAGTGGGATTTTTAGTTCATTTTGTAATTTATAATAAGATATAAACTAATTTATCTTATTAGTTGCTATTGTAGTTTAATTGTTATGTTTTTACTGTATATTATCCAAAATTGAAACTGCGGCCATTGTTTTTAATGCATTTATCGCGATATTATGGAATATCATGATAATTTCTCATGATCAGACGATAATCATGATATGATTTGTTAAATATCGCTTCGAAACATTGCATCGTAAACTGTAACCTCGGCTCTTCGAGTTACCTTCATTAAATTTACAAGTCAGACTTGTTTGCGGTGAACATGTGTCTTATCAATGTTTTTCCTTGTATCAGTTTTTCATGTTCTTTTTTTCGGTGTCATTTTTACTCAGAAACTCAGCCAACATGTCTATACAGCCGTATTCTGATGAAGAGCTGAACTACTTCAAGTTTGCGTCAATTGTCCTAAAGGAATTCCCAGATGCTTTGCGTAGCATCTTTGTAGACATGTGGGACACCAGAGTGGCACCAAGTTCAAACGTTTGGGATGACTCGCCTCTTGTACGCAATATACTCCGCAACAATGAGGCTCCAAACACAAAAATCCCCACGAACAACTCATTCAAAGAGTGGGACTGCACTGCACTATTTCAAGCCACTCTGTATGCAAGAATATTTGCGCTACCAGACAGCACAGGAAAGAAAAGGACGCTTGGAAAAATGTATTTAAAAGGACGAATACCAGCCCCTGCTCCATTCCACTCTGCAGTGAGAAGCTCGAGCGGAGATGCAAATGAAACGATTGCACTTGCCATTGATCAGCTTCGTCTTTTACGAAACACTCTTTGTCATACATCCAGCCCAAAAATTGATAAAGTCACGTTCGATGACTATGTCAAGCACGCCAAAGATGCGTTCACTGCTTTGAATTTTAGCACGACATCTCTGGACAGAACTGGGAATTTGAAAGAATCGGATTTTCCTACAAAGGAAGTACAAAAACTAAAGGAAGAAATCAATCGTCAAAGCAAGGTTATAGATGAAATTAGTGGAATGAAAGATGGAATGAGTGAAATGAAAGATGATGTGAGTGGAATGAAAAATGAAATGAGTGAAATGAAAGATGGAATGAAAGATGGAATGTGTGAAATAAAAGATAAAATGAGTGGAATGAAAGATGAAATGAAAGATGGAATGAGTGAAGTGAAAGATGGAATGACTGGAATGAAAGATGGAATGAATGAAATGAATCAAAAACTGAATAGCATGGAAGGAGTATTCACACAGACAAAATATACCACAGGTATGTTGTTTATGTATAATTATACCCTAACAATTGATTTTCCAAATGGAAAGCCGCATTTATACCATATGATCAATAACCTTATCGTTTAATTCCCTCAGCCCTTGTTTTTCATCCTCATATTGCTCATAAGTTGATATTTCGCGCTCTAATAGGGGTAATAGCGAACTTAAGGTGGCTCCCTACAGTTGAAGCTAGAAATGAAAACACGATTGTAAAATGGAAACACGATAATTCGATAAAAGCAGTAGTCATTCAGTTCAATATACTCAATTTTTGAAAAATTCTATAAAGCAGTTTTTGTGGATTTAGAACAAGATATCGATTTCCCTTTACCCCTACCAAATTTTAGAAACTTTGACCAAAGGAAATTTTAATAAGTTCATTTTTAGTGTAAAATTTAATGTCTGACTGCTGTCGCTTTGGTCACATTGTTACCATAGCAACACATCATTTGATTCTTTCAACCGAATGTACTTCAAATATAAAGATTGCACAAGCGTTTATACTTTCAAAAAATTCCCTATTTTGCATAAATGGCAAATTATTTCGCGTCGTGAAAACCTTATTTTTCGCTGCCATTTCTCAACAACTGTAGGGAGACACTTTAAGCTTAGTCTACTACGCAGCCTGTTCGCGGATCCGAGGTTTTTTCCCCACTAACAGGTTGCTTACTGCAACAACACATTCCATTCCGATTGTTTAGCCAATCACAGCCTGAGAACCAAAATCAAGAACTCTTCGCGTTTAAATTTACTAATTCCGAAACAAAGATAGCGTTGTATAGCCTGGTTCACATAAATGCCTGCGACGTGCCTGCGACGAACCGGCGACGATACCGGTGCTACCTTTCAAACGCAAATTATGTGAACATTTGTTCGCCGATTGCCGCCAGTGCCTCAGTTACATCGGCGGTAGGCCGGGAAAGTTGACTTGAGTTCAACTTTGCCGGTATTTCGGCGGCAAGTAGAGGCATAATGATACAGTCGCAGGCATACGTGAACCAGGCTTAAGATCAAGCAATGTGTGAAGTCGCCCATTATTTCGTATTTCTACTTTCAACAATCATCGAAAGAATGCGATTCGAACAATAATGAAAGAAAAATGAAATGTGTTTGTCAACCCGCCTACTACAGGCTTCGGTAAATCGATTTGCCTCTCATGTGATGTGATCGACTGTACCACGAATAATGCCAGAGCGGTAGTTTATGGAACACCAGAGGCATTGCTCTTAAATCATTGACTATTTAACTGCCTTATTTTTGTTTCGGTACCACCAGCTTAATAATTTACCAGATTTCTTTAAAAATTATTTTGTGACAAACAACAAAATTCATGAACGTGTTATGACACGAGAAATGCTTCAAAACTTCACGAATGTTATAAAAGGACAAGTGATATTAATTTTGTGAAACACAGTCCCTCATGTAAAGGTTTTGGTGTATGGAATTCGTTAGAAACAAAATTTAATAAAATAAACTCCTATCAGGCCTATGACATCTTCAAAAAGCAAATTAACATAAACAACACTATTTGCTATACACAATTGACAATTACCATATAAGACATGCGATAAAACATACTTGATATACTTCTACTGTTTAATCTTATATATATATATATATATATATATATATTTTTTATATATATATATATATATATATATATATATATATTTATATCTTAAAATTAATTATCGCTACTCAAGTTTCACGCCTTATTCAAGACGATCTTCAGGCAATTAATTCAGTTAGTGTTTGATTCGTTTATATATATATATATATATATATATATATATATATATATATATATATATATATATATATATATATATATATATATATATATATATTATTTAATCTTATTTAAATCTGTTTTTCAAAGGGCCGTGAGTTCATTAAAATATTTACATAATTGGAGAGAAAAAAAAAAAAGAAATCTAAAAGCGAGAAAAACAGGCCACTTACATAAACTATTTACATGGATGCAATTAATTACACTATAGATTAGGACCAATAGATTAGGACATACGTTTTATGACATTCTTAAAGGAGTTGACAGAGACATCTTCTATTAATGCTTGATCAATAATATGATTAGGTAGGTTATTCCAACTCATGGCTCCTCGATAGGGAAAGCTATTTTTTAGAAAATTTGTCTTTGGCTTAGGTAGGTAAATATTTCTATTGTTGCTACGTAATTGATAGTTGCCGTTTTCGTTCAAGTTAATTGTCTGCATTAGGTAGTTGGGCACTAGACCTTTAAGGGCCTTAAATATCATTACAAGGTCGCGCTCGTCTAAGTTGTCTTTTATAGGTCTCCAGTTTAAGGTTTCAAAAATGTTAGTTGATCGTATGTCGTAACTGGATCCTGTTATTACACGAGCAGCCCTTTTCTGTAACTTATTTAATTTATTAATGTGATCAGCGCGAAAGCCATGCCACACAGTTGAGCAGTAGGTAAAGTGAGGAAATACAAGTTAATTATACATTGGAATTAAAACATCTTGTGTAACGAAATCTCTAGCTCTTCTTAACATTCCGATACGTGCTGAGATTGTTTTACATTGTTTACTGTTATGTTCTTCCCATTTTAATTGTTCATCTATAATTATGCCTAAGGATTTTGTGCTTTCAACTCGTCTTATTTGCTCGCCTGCGATTGATATGTTTGTAGTATTTGTGCCAATAGAATTTAATTTTTGTCATGAGCCAATAATCCTGTATTCAGTTTTTTTACGGTTTAAAGTCAGCTTGTTTGCGGTTAACCATGTGTAAATTATTTCTAAATCGTGATTCAGTTTACCCTCTATATCTGCGGATGATAGTCCGTTACATGATAGGCTTGTATCATCCGCAAACATTGTGGCGCTTGTTGTTACAAGGCAATTTGGCAGATCATTTATATAAAGGAGAAATAGCAACGGGCCTAGATTTGTCCCTTGAGGAACTCCGCAGGTAATTGTTCTTATATCCGACATTTTTTTGTTAATTTTACATATTTGCTGCCTCTTCCTTAAATATGACTGAAACCATTTGTGTGCTGTACCCTTTATTCCATAAGCTGTCAATTTAGATAAAAGAATATTGTGGTCCACCGTATCGAATGCTTTTATTAGGTCTAAGAATAGTACACCATTAATGAGACCTTGGTCCATGTTTATTAACCATTCATTTGTTAAGCTCAGTAGTGCAGTTTCAGTTGAATGGAGTGATCGAAACCCTGACTGGTTTGGTGATATGATACAGTTTTCGTCTAAATAATCAAGTATTTGTGTATAGACAATTTTCTCGAAAATCTTTGCAATTGTTGAAATTACTGAAATAGGTCGATAGTTTCCACAGTCTGATTTTTCACCTGATTTATAGATAGGGGTAACCTTGGCGACTTTCCAATCTTCTGGAAAAATTCCAGTACTTAACGATAGGTTGAATAGATGATTTAGAGATGGTATTATGCTGTCGCCAGCTTCCTTGACCAATTTTGTAGATACGTTATCAAGACCTGGTGACTTGTTAGTTTTGAGGTTCTTAACCACTTATATTAGCTCATCATAGGTTATGGCATGAAATTCAAATGAAGTTGACACTGGAGTGACATAACTCAAAGGATCAGTATTTGTAATGGGGATGTTACTAGCTAGTGTAGGCCCAACTGAACAAAAATAGTCGTTAAATTCCTGGGCTATATTCACATCACCGGTTATGTCAATCCCATTGACCTCCACTTTATTAACCGTAGTGGATTTGGAGTGTTTATTTAAAAGTTTATTAATAGTTTGCCAACACTCTTTACTATTTTTGCAATCTTTCAGCTTGGCATTAAAATATTCAGTTTGGCATTTCTTAATGAGTTTCGTAACTTGATTTCGGCATTTTTTATAAGCCTTATGGTAGTATTCAGAGTTTAATCTGACGGCTTTCTTTTTGAGATCATCTCTTTGATAGGAAAGAGATTTAATTTGATCTGTTAGCCATGGTGCATGATCACTTTTAACTCTGCGGGTTTTAATAGGTGTATGAGTATTGGCAACGTCTAGAAAAATTGTTTTCCATTCATTCCATGCAGTGTTTGGTTCAGCAGTAAAGCTGTACGTCTTAAGAGTGAATGTCAGTAAAAATCGAACATATGAGCTATTTCGCGGCCACGACTGAAAAATCGATTTTGCTCAAATTTTGCCCAGATATACTTATTATATCGGAAAATGCACCATATATTTTTTTAGGCCAAATGCTTTTTTAACTTTGAGAAAATGCCGTTTTAACACGACCACCCTAAATCACCATTTTGTCTGGGAAAATATGCGCTGATTTTACCGACAAATTTCACGACGACAACCGTTTATAATCGATCTAAAACCTTAAAAATCTTGTTTTCGGTTATTCAAAGGACCGGGTACGTGACTTACAAGAAATCTGAGTTACTTTTAGGAATCGAAATAATCGTAGTTTTAGAGCACACTATCTTACTTCATTTACGATACCCTCTTAACAAAACCGATTTTCACTATGGGATAAAGCTCCAAATCGATCATGCTTCTACTAGTTGGCTCTTTAATAAACAAGCTTTCAATTGACGTAAATACTTCTTTGGGCAAATGAATACGCGATAAACGACAGCGCGCTGAAATCGTCCGTTTTTGACGTCTTGCAAGCAAACGCTGTTAATTTACATACCGTCGAAGTAAACAATTTAATCAAGTATTCTAAGTATTTTACCTTTTGAGAAGAAGATATATTCTTGAATGGAGACTTTTTGCCTTGCTAAGTTTAAAATTGGTCCAAAAATCCTGATATATTTGTAAAATATCATCATATACAGGTATTTTGAGATATAATATTGTTGTCAGTTGCATAATAACTTCAGATCACTGTTCAATATTGTCTACTTTTAATAGCGCTAACATACAAATCGATGAGCTGTTTAGGGATTATATTTGCTACTAAATTTCCCAAAATTAGAACTTCAGTTGTTGTTTTGTTCCAGTTTGATCCATATAATGTACCAATGTACCAT